AATTCTTGTTTGTTAACTGATGCGGAAATGAGAGGAGAAATGGTCATTTCAGCTGAACAGAACAGGAGTTGGAGACACTCTAATCATCCCAGATAATTTCTGTTGTACATTTATAATTTTGTCTTTTCTATAATTAGATTTGTTCAGTAATAGCAATGAAGTCCCCTAATTCTTCAGTTAGTTAGTACTTTTAACCCCCATGGATATTAAGATATCAAAAAGCTGAATTTGAAATGCAGATCTGAGCTATAATGTTTGCATCCCAGCATGCTGTGCAATTTTGCATTTATGTCTTTTGTTGAGTGCATGATGTTGTGTGGGTAACAATGCAGATGAAATCTTAGTGCCAAAACCTTGTATATATAACAATCTTTCCCTCTCTCTTTTAAATTAATCATGGAAGTGCTAAAGCCAACTTTTTCTGCATTTCTGAAAAGAGACTGATGATCCTCAACAGAGGCACACAGAAGATACAAACACACACGTAAATACATCCACATTTAGAGAAAATTTGTAAAAACCAATTGAAGGTCATTTTTTTTTGCTGTGGCAAAAGGAATGCTTTCTGGAGAATTCCTTAAAATAACATTAAAAATTGCATTTATTTTGTATTAAAGTAACAAAAGTTCAATTTATATGCAAGGCCTTAAGGATACACTGACATGTAAAGACAGATACGCTAGTAAAGATTCAACAATTACTCCTGTATATGGCATCATAATTTTTGCCATAATAACAGTATAATTTCTAGGAAGAGTCCATTCAGAGGGCCACCTGAGCCCCAGTCTCCTTTCCAATTCTGCAATGAGCCCATACGTTTGCCGATTACCCCGCAGGTCTTGGGTCCAATTTAACATTTGGTTGGTGGCAGTTGTAGAGGAAAATGTGGCACAGCAGATTGGAAATTTGCAAACCTCCTGGAAAAGCTATTTGCTAAGCTTGTGTCAAATATGCCTGAGTAGGCTGTGGCAGCTGCAAAATCTAGGCGCCCAGGGTGCAGATGGTGTTCCTGTCACGTGGCCAAGGGTTGGCTGGATCCTTCACATTACAGAGCCCCTCAGCCAGCAGGAATGGGCCCTTCCTGTAGAGCACCTGCATCCCACTCCATCCACTGCCACTGCCACCCAAGGCTGTGATGCTGATACAGGCATGGTGGCAGAGAAGGGTACAGGAGGTCAGGCTCCTTGTGCCCCTGCCTTTACTGCAACAAGCTATGACATGGGCTTGGAAGGAGCATGCGCTCCCAGCAGCACCTACAATACTTAGAAAACTCTTAGTTACTACCCAGAATAGACACTTCCCTCCAGCAATGCAAATCCTTCCCCATCCCACTCAAAAGGTATCAACTATCCAATCTGGCACCTCTGACTTCTGCCAATCTGGATTGTCTGCCTTCCTAATCCTGCACAGAACTTCAGCTTCCAGCAAGCCTTTCTGGCTTCTACGCACAGCTCATAATATTCTTCTACACTGTGGCTTGTCAGTACTCACAGGCTCTCTGATTTATTCAATCAGCCATTGACATTGATTCACATATTCATTCCATAAATATTTACTGAGCATCTACCATACGCCAGGTGCTGGTGAGGCAATGATGAGAAGGCCCTACAATGGTAAATAAGATAAACAAGGTCCTGCGTTTAAAACTTTCCATCTAATCAGGAAGATCAGTAAACAGACACGTAAGGGAAAAGATAAAGAAGTGAAGATGTTACAGGGGAAAACAGTAAGATTCTTTGGCAGACTTGAAAGTCAGAGAGGCTTCGTGGAAGAGCTACTGTCTAAACTGAAGTCTAAAAGGTGAGTGGGCCTTAGGCAGGTCCAGAGTAACATGGTGATGGTGGGTTTGAGTAGGGAGTGGACCTTAGGGAGGCCAGGGGCTCCAGAGACCATATTCCAGCGAACTAGAACAAGCTTCAGAGAGGTGGGGGGACTCTACTAGTGTGTGTCTTTTTTCATTTTGTTTTGTGTGTGCTTTTGAATTTGTCTGCCTTCTATCTCATATATTGTTTAATACTCCATACAAGAGCCAATTCTTAACACAGGGCTTAGTAAGCACAGGTAATGCTCCATGGCATGTTGGTGAATACATTACAGCTATTTGCTAATTTGTTGAGGCAGAGCAATCTTTCTATAGCTCCCCATGTGCTGTCTGTCAGTCTGCCTGGCAGCAAAGGACTCAGCCTGGGTACCCGGTTGCAGAAGGGACTATCTTGTGCTTAGAGAATGATGTCCAAATGGTGGCTACATCCTTTCTTCTGGAATAACTCTGTCTTGAAGAAAGGATATTCCCATCTCCCCTGACTTTTAGGGAAGTAGCAATAATTCACACTCTAGTGCAATAGAGAAGAAATGGAAAGGAGTTGATTGGTGGGCATTTAATAATTCATTGATGGACATTGCTCAGATCTCAGTTTTCTAGGCCTCTGGGCAGGATTCAACATCCAAACCACTCCTTCATCCTCAAAGCACCCTTCCCTCTTGGCCTCTGAAAGCCAAAAAACACCCTTCTATACCTCCTCTTGCTGTTCCTTATCAGCCGTCTTTGAAGGTTCGTCTTCTTCCACGCAGCCTTCAAATGCTAGGAGGTCTCAAGGCTCCTTCCCAGATCACCTTCTTGTCTCACTCAGTGTTTTCTTCCTTGGAAATTTCTTAAACCCCATCTTTCCAGTGATCAGCTCATGGCTGATTACTACCAAATGAGGAGCTCCAGCTGAAGAAGGCTCAGGCAGTTGTCATGTTTTGGTTCCTTAGCAGCCAAACTCTTTTCTATTCACAGAGAATTCCTCTTCTTGCAAGTCTTCATAGGGAGCAGAGCTCCATTCCACAATAGGAGCTGGGGGTGTTGTGCAATAATAGCTTCCACAGCACACAGCGCAGCTAGGACATAAGCAAGAAGCCCAGGCTCAGCCAATCATAGGTTAATTTAGAGACTCAGTCTAAATCTGTCCAGGTGACAAAGTAAGGATGACAGCTGGGACCATAGCCCCCACAGACCAGTGCTGGGGTGTCTGTGATGTAAGATGCCACATCCTGTGTTCAAGAGCAGCTGCAGAGGAAATAGCAGTGTCTTCCTGTCACCTGACTGCTTCCAAGGCGAGCTATTGGCTCAGGTTCTGGACGTACAGCCTCCTTTTGATTCTTCCTGCCCACTTTACAAGTGTGGCTCTTTTGGCCCCCTGGTAATTCAGTGAGCTACCAAATATCTGTTCGGTAAATCCCTATTCTGCTTAAATAAGCCAAAATCAGCATCCATTCTAGTGATGGTGGCCCAACTCAGAGACGTTTCCAGCTGGCTCTGTTCTGTTCCATCTTCACACCCAGTTACCCCACATCAGTTGTTTTTAAGATGTACTCCCATCTTACCCCATTTTTTACTACTATGCCAGAGTACCACAGACTGGCTATAAAGAAAAGATATTTCTTTATAGAAAAAGAAGAACATCTCTGGGTATAAGGAGATTTCTTTTATAAAGAAGAGAGACTTACTTGACTCAAGGTTCTGGAGGCTGGCAATTCCAAGATCAAAGGGCTACATCTGGTGAGGACCTTCATGTTTCCTCACAGCATGGCAGAAGGCATCCCATGAGAAAAGGCAAGGGAGGGCGAAAGCACATGACACACTCTGAGAGAGGGAGAAATAGGAGCAGACCTCATCCTTTTATCCAGAGCACACTCCTGCAATAACGAACGCACTCCCATGATAATGGCATTAATCTCTGCATGAGGGCAGAGCCCTCATCGCCCAATCACCTCTTAAAGCCCCCACCTCCTAATATTATTACATTGGCAATTAGATTTCCACACAAGTTTTGCGAGGGACATTTAAATAGCAGGTCCCCAGGCACCTGGGGGTTGCTGAGGCACTCTCAGGAGGTCTGCAAAGTCAGAATGATTTTCATTAAATTCATAAAATTACTAAGACATTATTTGTCTTTTTCATAGTATTGAATTTTCAGCAAGGTCCAAACAGTAGTGTGAGGCTGTGGCATGGAGCTGTAACCACAGCATCCCGCTCTTCACCATCGTGCCCTTGGAGAAAAAAAAAAAAAAGACAGTTTTGTTTAGGAATAACCTTTTTGAAACAGTAAGGAATATTAATTTTATTAAATTTTGACTCTTAAATACACAAAAAGTGTGAGTGCTGCTGCCTCACATTCTGCCCAAGGCCCCCAGCATCTGTTCACAGAGCTTATGAGTCTCCACTACTGTGGGCCGTGGGTAGCGCCCTGGCTCAGTGAGGGCCCACACCATAGACAGTTCTGTGTTTTCCACTCCTTCTCCTCCCATCTAAGTTGCCTTTTCACCTTTTGCTCACTCTTCCTGACACTGGTCCTAACTAGCTCTTGAGAGCAGAAAGCCTCACTCAGCAGACACTCAACAAACATCCTTATCTAGGCCTAAGCTTTGCTGCATCTTTGAGTTACTGTTTCTATTTGGGGTGGGCTGGAGGAAGAGAAACCACTACATGGGACCCAAAAGCAGAGAGGTAGGAAAACGCACAGAAAGCAGATCAGTATTTCACACAACACTTAGCTGCACTTGCGATTCAGAACCCTGACTGTTCAGATGGTCTGTGGACGCTCCTCTCAGCCCCTGACCCACATCCAACCTACCCTGGATCCGCCTCCTACCTAGAACATTCCCCTCACTTGATGCTTAACTATCTCCTGCTTTTAACTCAAATCCCATTGAGCTTAAAAGCCACTTTCTGTTTTTTTTTCCCATTTATTTATTTTATTGCATTTTAGGTTTTGGGGTACATGTGAAGAACATGCAAGATTGTTGCATAGGTACACACATGGCAGCGTGATTTGCTGCCTTCCTCCCCATCACCTATATCTGACATTTCTCCCCATGCTATCTCTCCCCAACTCCCCACCCCCCCACCGTCCCTCCCCTATTTCCCCCCACCTGGCCCCAGTGTGTAGTGCTCCCCTCCCTGTGTCCATGTGTTCTCATTGTTCAACACCCGCCTATGAGTGAGAACATGCGGTGTTTGACCTTCTGCTCTTCTGTCAGTTTGCTGAGAATGATGGTTTCCAGGTTCATCCATGTCCCTACAAAGAACCCAAACTCATCGTTTTTGATGGCTGCATAATATGCCATAGTGTATATGTGCCACATTCTCCCTATCCAGTCTATCGTCGATGGGCATTTGGGTTGGTTCCAGGTCCTTGCTATTGTAAACAGTGAAAAGCCACTTTCTTAAAGAGGTTTTCTTCCATGTTTCAATCTAAATTAGGTCACCTCCCCTGCTCTACTACCCTGTCCTTTCGCTTCATAGATAGCATTTACCATAATTTTACTTTCATGTGTATCTGTGTTTGTTTATTACTTGTCTCTCTCAGTAGATCACGGCCACCAGGAGGGCAGGCCCATGTGTGTTCTGCTCAGCGCTACATACCCAACAAAGAAGTGCTCAATATTAATTTATTTTAAAACTTAAGGAGAATGGGGCCATAACTAGTACTCTTTTTGACTTTTCTTTTTTTCTAAAGTACGCATTTAAAGCCACAAAATTCCCTCTAAGCACTGCTTTCGCTGCATTCTATAAATGTTGATAGGCTGATAAATTGTATTTGCATTATCATTTCAGTTTAAATACTTTCTAACTTCACTCCTGACTCCCTTAGCGATACATAGATTATTTAGAGGTATATGGTTTAATTTCAATATATTGAGTTTCTAAATTTTATATTGTTGTTGATTTCTAATATAAATACATGGTGGTCAGAGAACATACTCTATATAATTTCAATTATTTGACATTTATTGAGACTTGTTTTATGTTTTATGGCCCAGCATATGGGCTGTATTGGTGAACACAGCATACACACCTGAAAAGAATATAGATTCTGCAGTTGTAAGACGTAATGTTCTATATCATTAGGTCAAGGTGGTTGATTGTGTTGTTCAGATCATTTTCAACTTTATTGCTTTTCTGTCTAATTGTTCTATCAGTCGCTGAGAGAGGGGTTTGTACTTCATGTATTTTGAAGCTCTGTTATTAGGCACATCCACATCCACATTTGTTGTGTCTCCCTGGTGAATCGATCTGATCATTATGAAATGTCTCTTTTTTATCTCTGGCAATACCTTTTGTCTTAAAGTTTGTTAGTATGTTCCTCTCTCTTAAGCTGATGTAAAATAGCACCATTTAAACTGCAGCTTTTCTACGTTTCTCCCTCAATTTTTGCCTCTATCTTATTTTCTAACCTCAGTGCTGAGCTGCAATAAATTAGAAATGTGGCATGAACCAAAAAGATTATTTTCTCTAATGGTGAAAGGAGGGTGTAGCCAAGAGGCTGGTCCAGCTCCCATTTTCATCTCTGATGCAGCCATCACTCGCCAAAGAGATAAGCCACACACCCTCCCTATTCCCCAGGCTTTCCTCTGAAGGTTTTTCCCATGGATCATGAAAAGCAACTCTACCCATTTCTAACATTTTTATGTGTTTGACTTTATTAAACTTGGGGCTTTCAATAATGCATGAAAAGCAAATCATTTCATGGCTACTAAAGCGGTTGGAAGACAAACTTTTTGACTAGAGCATCTAACCCTGAACACAATTGATGCAACTTCAACAAGCGTTTCAGTCTAGTATAGATTCAAGGGAGACTTTCATAGCACTCTGAGGAAATCAGGTGCAAGGTTAACTGTGATTTTTCTTCCATTTGAACTTTTCAAAACATCTTCTATTCCTGTTATGAGAAACAGCGGGCAATATCAATTTTTAGATGATAACATAGAAGACTCACAGAAGTTCTCCTAAACATTCTGGTTAATGAAAACTTGGGGGTTTTATTTTTTCACTAAATACTATGGTTTGATTGCTGGAGGAACCTATTGCTACTCTTAGATTGTTTTCAATCTTCTTGAAAATCTCCAATGCCAATACTGGATGACTAATGTCATTAAAAATAAATCCAAACCAATTTCCACATGGCATGGACTTTAAATATCATATCCCATCATCATAGGTACTTTCATGAATGTTTATGACAGGCAGCTACCTAGATGATGGCATTTGAGAAGGCCACAAAAGCCCTAACACAGTAGCAAACTGTCCCTCATCAGTTACTCTTTTGAGTAAGACATTTTCCTCAGAAGGCTCCTGTTACAGCTCACCTGGCACCTCTGCACCAGTAACATTAAAATGTACTAACACAATGGTGTGTTTGTCTATCTGATCAGTTAGTGGTTCGCTACGCTTGGGTCCCCATCACACTGCAAAGAATTTTTGCCTGTAAACTCCTCTCTCTAGTGTTTTGCTCATTTCTCTAGGTACCTCTGTGGTTTCCATTCTCACCACAAAACAGAAAATGTGAAAATGCCAAATATACATTTCCAGCCCTGGTCTCTTTTTCTAAATAATGCATTCCCATCTATGGCTTCCAGATGGTTATTCTCACTGAACTACAGTGGAACCTAACTGCAATGGTTAGCTGGAACCTAACTGCAATGGCTAACTCTGTGTCAACTTGACTAGGCTAAAAGATGCCCAGATAGCTGGTGAAACACTATTTCTGGGTGTGTTTCTAAGGGTGTTTCTAGAGAATATTTGTATTTTAATTGGCAGACTGAGTAAAGCAGGTGGCCCTTACCAAAGTGGGTGGACATCATCCAATCCATGGGGGACCCTAATAGTACAAAAACAGGGAGGAGGGGGTGAATCCTCTCTCTCTCCTTAGTTAGGACATCCATCTCCTTCTACCACCAGACATCAGAGCTCCTGGTTCTCAGGCCTTCAGATTTTGGGACTTAGACTAGTGGTCCCCCTGGGTTCTCAGGTCTTTGTCCTTGGACTGAATTACGCCACCAGCTTTCCTGGTTCTGCAGCTTGCAGATCACATATCTTGGGTCCTCTTAGCTGCTGTAATCACATAAGCCATAATAAATCTTCTATCTATCTATCTATCTAGCCATCCATCCATCCATCCCATTGGTTCTGTTTATCTAGGTAACTCTGGTTAAAAAACTAACTTTCCGAAACAAAATTCATTATCACTTCCACACTAATAAGCCCTAATTTATTCAGTGAATTATCACTTTTTCAGCCACAATAGGACTCCCCTCCTCCTCTCTCACTGAAGAAGCCACAAAACTCCATTTCTTCCTTTCCCAGTCTAGTATCCCCCAACAATAAGAAAGCAGGAGACCTGAGGGACAGGTTGTGAGTGGACAAGAAGTCAGTAAACATGAGAAATGCCTTCTATGGGCCGGACATCATATCAGGCATGAAGATCCAGAAGGCTTATGACCATAGAGAATGACCAGTAAATCCACAAGTAGATTTGGGGTGCCAGCAACTGAGCTGCAGAGAAAGCTTCCGTAACCTGAAGGAAGTGATGCTTCCGTTAAGGGCTGAAGGCAGGATAGGAATTAGCCTGCTGAACCGAGGCATGGAGGCACCTTACACAAAGGAACAGCATGAGCAAAGGCATGAAGGCAAAATCATGATGGCAGCATATTTCTGAATCTTAAAGATCAGGTTGTGGAGTGGACGATGTGGCCATGTGAAGGTGGCGGGAAGTGAGACTGATGAAGCAGCTGGTGGCCAAATTGTGAAGGACCTATTGAGACACCCTTGCAATTTTCTTACAAAAACAAAGTTTTAAGTAATAAAATTACAAATTCATAGTGGCATTTTGGATAGATACTTCTGTGAAGCAGGGTGAGGTGAACAAGACTGGAGGCAGGGAAACCATGTGTGATAGACTGAATTATTAGTCCTAATTCTTCACTATTGTAACATTACACATCCACTCCTATTCCATGGCCTCATGGTGGGTGCCATGCATTTCCCACATGTTGACTTTGGACTCAATTTGGCCAATAGGATATTAGCAGGTATGGCACAAGTAGAGATTTGAAATGTACCTGCATGTTTGAGCTAACGCACTTGTGCTCCTGCCTTCCAGAATGAGAAGAACATGTCTCTGCATGTCTCTGGTGTCCATAGTTCCAGAAGGAATGCAAACAAATGGGGCAAACTTAAACCCAACATGCAGTTGGGACTTGAGGCAACTCTAGCCAAGCCCAGTCCAAGGTCACTGAACCACAGCTAACTTGTAGGGACTCAGATGAGAAATAAATGTTTGTCATTGTAAATTCCTGGGTTTGGGGTTGGTTGGTTTCAAGAATTATTGCTTCAATAACTAATTTACATACCAGTTTAGAAGGTAGTGAAAGAGAAACAAAAAGAAAAAAAAAAAAAAAAAAGAAGGGATTGGCAGGGTGCGGGGGCTCACGCCTGTGATCCCAGCACTTTGGGAGGCCGAGGCGGGCAGATCACCTGAGGTCAGGAGTTCAAGACCAGCCTGGCCAACATGGTGAAACCCCACCTCTAAAAAAAAAGGGGGGGGATTGAAAGAACTCAATAAGAAGATGATAAGTACTTGAAATAGTGTAATGGCAATAAAGATAAAAAAGAAGTAAATTGATGAAACACTTAAGAGGTAGAATAAAAGACCAGGTGGGCTGGGCGAGGTGGTTCACGCCTGTAATCCCAGCACTTTGGGAGGCTGAGGCAAGTGGATCATGAGGTCAGGAGTTCGAGACCAGCCTCACTAACATGGTGCAACCCTGTCTCCACTAAAAATACAAAAATTAGCTGGGCATAGTGGTGCATACCTGTAATCCCAGCTTCTTGGGAGGCTGAGGCAGGATAATTGCTTGAACCTGGAGGCAGAGGTCTCAGTGAGCTGAGATTGCGCCACTGCACTCCAGCCTGGTGACAGACCAAGACTCTGTCTTGGGAAAACAAATAAATAAATAATAAAAGACAAGATAACTGATTGGATATGGAAAGTAAGTCTAGGAAGCCTCATGGGATCCTCACGGAGACAACTGAATGGAACCAACTGAGTTGAGGGATGTAAGACGGGTGAGGAAGGAGCATCTCTGGTTAGAAGACAATGACTCTAATTTTGATATGGGGAGCTTGAGCAGCCTGTCAGGTATCCAAGTGGAGATAGCTGGAAGTCAATTAGAAAAGAGGGAGAGGGATGTAATGAGCTTGGTTTGGTTTGGTTTCTGCTCTGCATCTTATGAACCTGCTTTATATGTTGGAGACTCTCCCAACTGTATGAATTTGGTGGGAGACAACATCCCCACTAATTCTCCAAAAGTCCAAGAGGCTAGGTACTTACTCTCCATGACACCTGAGGTCATGAGTCACATGACCCAGGTATTGCCAACCAGCTAATTCTGCTCAATGCTTTGTTTCACTTGTGAAACAAAAAAGCAGGGGATAGTTGAAATGTCGTTCAAATGACTCCAGTGGTAACATCCAGCATCCTGTGTTGGTCCAAGCAGGGGTGTCTGCCTCCTGCAGGGGTGGTGATAGCATACCCCACCCCACCCTACCCTGGCTCCCGCTCATTTTCTAAACCTGGTTCTCCAGCCCCCCTGCAGGCTTTGTGAGCTATCCAATATCCTCCCTAAATCAATTCCTTTTCTGATTAAGTCATCCAAAATGGGTTACTGATGTTTACACTCAAGAACCCCAACTAGTAAAGAAATTTACAACAGGACAGAGGTGCAGTGAAACGGAGGGTTTGCTAGCAGATTGGTTATAATCTAGTCAGAATACTAAAATCCAGTTAATGTTCAGGTAATCTAGCAGTGTGTGGTTCACAGCGGTAAACTGATGAAATTAAATGCTCACTTACAGTCACCTGGAGTGAAGAACTCATTAAGGCAAACTTCGAAGACCATATTGCTACTTGCATAGAATGAAATGAAGAGCTTCAGTCGTACAGACTCTCGTGAATGTAGCTCTTCCCGAGAGACCTGGGCAGTAAGGAAAAAAAAGAAATGGCAAGCTTAAATCTCTAAATATCCGACACAAAGACCTTGCAATGATCTGTTAAAATGATACCTTATTTATAGTCTTTCAAGGTTAACATAGTTGAAAGCCAAGCACAGAAGTGCATTGCCAAATTTCAACGTATGCCGAGTTGACATATTGAAGCAGCTACATCGTCTGGCATATATACCCTGTGGTTCATCACCTCTCACCAGGAAAATTTAGGACAGGGACATCCACGAGGAATTTAGGAGCAGAGGTTTAATAAGCAGAAGAGAAGAGAAAGAGAAACAGTGGGGTGGGGGGGAGAGAGAGAAGGAGAGAGAGAGAGAGAGAAGGAGAGAGAGAGAGAAGGAGAGAGAGAGAGACAGAGACAGAGAGAGACAGAGAGAAGGAGAGAGAGAGAGAGAGAAAACCTCCCAGTTGAAAACGACCAGCTGGTGGAGGATGCACTGGATGTTATAGCCCAGCTTGAGGAGATGGCGTCTGATTTACCTAGGGCTCACAGACTGGGTGGATCGTGTATGGTGTTTACATAGCCCTGGGGAAGGCTGGCCACCCTGCCCTAATTTAATTATGTAAATGAACTCTCCTGCTGACCGGTGCCATCTTGTCTGCTTTTTATGGTACAAGTGGCTGATAAAGAGAAGGGAAGATGGGGCGGCCATTTTGAACATGATTGCACAGCTGCCGGCATCTAGCAGCATGATTTTATAGGCTGTTCTTTGTTGGAAGGGAAAAAGATTTGGGGCTGCTTTTCATTAAAAGGAAAACCTTACTGAGGACTTCCCTACCCTGTCTGCCTAAGTAATTTCTTAAGCCCTGTATCGAAACTCCCTAAGTATGTTTTATAAAGGTTAGGGCATTGTTCAGGAAGGACTGTGGCCCCTAGTGGGGCACGATGGCTCGCACCTGTAAAATCACACTTTGGGAGGTTGAGGCAAGAGAACCACTTGAGCTCAGGAGTTTAAGACAAGCCTGGGCGATATATGAGACCTTGTCTCCACAAAACAATTAACTGAGCATGGTGATGCACACCTGTAGTCTCAGCTATTTCGAAGTGAGAGGATTGCTCAGCCTGGGAGGTTGAGGCTGCAGTGAGCCAAGATTGCACCACGCACTCCATCCTGGATGACAGAGAAAAATCCTGCCCCCCACCAAAAAGAAGACTGCGACCCCCAAAATTGTAATAAGGACATTTGGGAAGATCTGGGAGCCTTATGGAACACCACACATGGAACCCTTTGGGTCTCTCTTACCAGCTGAAATGCATGCCCCTCCATTATCTGATGAGGCTGCTCCTGCGTGGTTTGAAGATGCTCTAACTCTGTGCATAGACTTCCTCGCAGAAAGAAGCCAGCTCTGCTCATGCCTTTTTCCTCCACCCCGTGGCTCATTGCTCATAGGTCTATAAATACAGTCAGATTCTCACATGACCTGGAAGCAGGAAGTGGAGCTTTTGATTACTTAAAAAGTTAAATCCCCATCAAAAGACTTTCAGATAAGCAGATTCTAAGATGGAGATTAGCATGCAAGACCTCGATCAGGAAGTGAGCTTGAGACCATGCCTGTGGAGCAGAAGGGACAGACATGGGACAGCCCTGGGCAAGGGAACAGTTGTGCTGTGTGCACCACTCGCACAGCTCTGGAACTAGACGGTCATTGAGAGCTCTTCTGAGTTGGAGCCAAGGAGCCAGGCTTTGTTAGCCCAACTTTGTCCAGTTGTCAGATGTGGCTGCTTCATGAAGGGGACATGACATGGCTGAGGGCCCAGTCCCAGCAGCTGGAAGAGTAAGTCCTTCATTCCTGAGAGGGATCCAGTGCATGCCACAGTGTCTAACACCATGTATTATTTTAAATCAGCCTGAAATTAATCAGGAGTATGCTCACCAGGAATCAGGAGGCAGTGTGCGATCCCCAGCCATTGTAAGTGGCCCTAATTGCTGTGTCAGTTGTTGTTTTGAAATGTGGACTCAACAATGGCTCATGTGAAATGAAATTCCATGAAAACAATGGAAGAAATAATCCAAAACTTTTGGGATATAGAAATGCTGGAGAGGATTTATCGTGTGTCACCTGCCCATACATCTGCTAATTCTCAAGAGGGCCCACACTGGTGAGGGAGTACCTCCATCTCTGAGAAGCAGCCTTGTGACTGATTTCCATAAGCTGAAGATGCACTTATAAGCCGTTGAAATGGGATCCCTGATTTTAATGGAAAAGAAAAGATACCAGAATAGCAGAAGCTGATTTCAGGCACTTTACTACAAAGGACAAGATGATCATGGTAGTTTCAATAGACAAGAGGGCTAGAATGGTAATTAAAATGGTCGGACCCGACTTGGTGGGAGCTGACTGACATTCAAAAGTCTGGGTAGAAATTGAAGTTCTCCATCAATATCCACCATCTTGTTCTCTCTGATCAATGCTGCCTATCCCAGCCTCCTTTTAGCTGATATAGTTATATGACTAGCTCTGGCCAATGAGATGAAAGAAGAAACTTGAGCTCTCTTCTTCCACTGTGCTGCTATGACAAAATACCTGAGACTGGGTAACTTGTAAAGAACAGGAAATTTATTTATCACAGTTTTGGAGGCTGGAAGTTCAAGATCAAGACACCAGCAGGTTTGCTGTCAGTGAGGGCTACTCTCTGCTTCCAGGATGGTGCCTTGTGGTGCCATCCTCCAGAGGGGACAATTGCTATGTCCTCACATGACAGAAGAGCAAAGAGGGGCCAGACTCTCTTTGGAGGCTCTTTTGTGAAGGCCTTAATCCTATTCACAGAGGAGGAGCCCTCATGATCTAAGCACCTCCCTCAAGTCCCCGCCTCTTGATACCACCACCATGAGGATTGAGTTTCAATATGTACATGTTGGAGGGGACACCATCACTCAAACCATAACATGGGTCATCTCCAGGACATGCCCTTAAAGCGGGCGGGGAGAACACCGTTTTCACTTCCTTCCTCCATCCTACTATGTGGAATAGGAACATGGGGGAAAGTCACATTTGGTGTGGGGACACCTGAGGAACAGCAGAGTAACCAGACAGAGTCTGGGTTCCTGGACAATTCTGGAATGCGGAGCTGCCGCCCCAGCCTTAGACTGTCTTCCTTCAGACCGTGACATGAAAGCTGGGTCTCTTCTATCTAAGTCATTGCTGTTTGGGGTCTTTGTTATTCCCAGCAAAATCTAAGTTATCCAGGTGTTGGCAGCCAAAAGTGTGGCACTGAGGTAGCAGATGGCAGAAAAGAATCATTGTGGGCTAGAAAACGGTGACGCTTGTTTCCCAGGGAAAACATTCGGTCACAGAGTCATCTACAATACATTGGGAGGTATGAACCAAGCCTGCAGTTGTGCAGGAAGTGATTAAGACAAAAATAAGAACACTGGCGTATTTCGGGTGCTCTCTGCTCTCTGTAGACAAACCCAGTGAGCTGAGTGTGGTGGCGTGTGCCTGTAATCTCAGCTACTTGGAAGGCTGAGGCAGGAGGATTGCTTGAGCCCAGGAGTTCAAGACCAGCCTGGGAACAGAGTAAGACCCCCATTTCAATAAACAATGATGATAATTGTCACATTAGTAATAACCCCAGGAAGAGAAGATGCTGGGGAGAACCAGCCAGTCTGCGAAGGCGGGTGGAAGGGGGAACAGCTTTGCCGGGACGTCCCTTTCTCTGCCTGCAACCCACAATCTAAGTTGCCGAAGAGTCAAAGATGGGGCTTTGTGGGTTAAAAAAGCTAAACTAACTGCTTCTAGTGACTAAACTAAGCATTTGTAAGTTAAGAGCCAGGCTTGTAGCAGGAAATAAGTCTGTGGCTGTGGCGCTCACCCTTTCTCAACCTTCCCAGCAGCCAAGAACGAATTAAGGGTGTTGACTTCCCTTCCAAGCCTGTCGTTTCCGCTGGCCTCGAGGTAACCACCGTTAAATTGGGAGTGGGGTGAGGAACGAGTGGAGCACAAAGGTCAGTGAGCAAGTGGCCAGAGCCTTCAGGCCTAAAAATCTATGTTTAGACAAGACGGTTTGCCATTGTTACTTGCACTTAGAACTGACCAGAAGCAAAAAAAAAAAATTAATAAACAGAGGGCCAAAGATACACAGCCTGGCCTGAAAAATCTTGTGACATCAACCACCAAGTCTGTGGCCATTCAACCCTTTTACTTAAAAGGGGGTTGGGACGGCTCTGTTGAAAGGGGCAGCTGGTAACTATCTTGGGCTTTGTGGGCCCCATGCCTCTGAACCCACTTCCTGTGTTTGTACCTGTCATTGTGTGAATCATGGTGAGAAGAGGGGCCCTTCCTCCACTAAGACAAATACTTACTGCCCCTCCCCCTGGGAGCCACAACACGGGCAGGGGACCTACATGTGACCTGGCTCTTGGGCAAGTAACACCAAGAAGCAGGGAAGTTCGAATTCCCTCAGGCAGCTCAGTGGTGTGGCCTGTGCCCAGCGGCAGTGGTGCCAACAGCAGCGTCTGTGCCCTCAGAGGGTTCAGTAGGTCTCAGTCAGGTTGCTCTGTGGTGTGACCCTGGAGGACCATGGCTCCCCCGCACTCTGGCGCATTTTCTCGTCAGCTTTCTTGTCCGTTCATGAGAAACCTAATATCTTTCCGATAAATTCTCCTTCCTGCTTAAGTTCATCAGTCTTCTGTCATTCTTCTTGCCGTTGTTTGAAGCCAAGAAGCATGATTGTTAGTTGCAGATAACTATTTGTGGCCACCAACACAAAAGTAGCAGCTAAATCTGTGAGATGGTTTGAAACTGCTCTCAATGAGAGAAAGAGAAATAAATGAGGTGGAATCTCTGGGAACAGAAACATTTAAGGGAGGGAGAGAAAGTGATCTACAAAAGGGGAGTGGTCGAGAATGGAACAAGTACAAAGTGTAAAGAGATGTACAGAGACTGAGCCCCAAGTTCAGTCTGTGGAGTGGGAGTTGTTCTATGTGTAAATAAGACACAAAGTGGGTTGGTGACATTCACAGATACCACCAAGGGCTATAAGCCATTAAAGGGTCATTGACATGAACATGGAGGTCACATTTTTCAGAGTGAACTTTAGTCCAATTTAAGTAATTTATTAATTTGTTTGAGGCAGAGTCTCCCTCTGCTGCCCAGGCTAGAGTGCAGTGGCATGAACTCGGCTCACTGCAACCTCCACCTCCCAGGCTCAAGCGACTCTCCTGCCTGAGCCTCCTGAGCAGTTGGGATTACAGGCGCATGCCACCATGCCCAGTTAATTTTTATATTTTTTGTAGAGATGGAGTTTCACCATGTTGCCCAGGCTAGTCTTGAACTTCTGGCCTCAAGTGATTTCCCCCAGCTCAGCCTCCCAAAGTACTAGGATTACAGGCATGAGCCACCGCTCCTGGCCCTATTTATTTGTTATTTTTTTTTAGAGACAGGGTCTGACTGTTCCACTCAGGCCGGAGAACAGTGGCGCAATCACGGCTCACTACAGCCTCTAACTCCTGGGATCAAGGGATCCTCCAGTCTCAGCCCCCAAAGTGCTGGGATTACAGGCATGAGCCACAGTGCCTGGCCCAATTTAATTTCTTTATTTTATTTTTTGAGATGGAGTCCGTCTCTGTGTTCCAGGCTGGAGTACAGTGGCGCAATCTCGGCTCACTGTAACTTCTGCCCCCTGTGTTGAAACAATTCTCCTGCCTCAGCCCCCCTAGTAGCTGGGATTACAGGCATGCATTACCACACCCGGCTAATTCTTGCATTTTTAGTAGGGATGGGGTTTCACCATGTTGGCCAGGCTGTTCTCAAACTCCTAACCTCAAGTGATCTGCCCACCTTGGCCTCCAAATGTGCTGGGATTACAGGCATGAGCCACCACGCCTATCCCCAGTTTAATTTCCTTTTTTATTTTTATTTTTTGAGATGGAGTCTCACTCTGTGGCCCAGGCTGGAGTGCAGTGGGGCGATCTCCGCTCACTGCAAACTCCGCCTCCAGGTTCAAGAGGTTCTCTTGCCTCAGCCTCCTGAATAGCTGGGATTACAGGCATGCACCACCACGCCCAGATAATTTTTGTATTTTTAGTAGAGATGAGGTTTCACTATGTTGGCCAGGCTGGTCTTCAACTCCTGACCTCATGATCCACCCTCCTTGGGCTCCCAAAGTGCTGGGATTACAGGCGCGAGTCACCGTGCCTGGCCCCAATTTAATTTTTTAATCCATTTTCCATACTGTGGAGTTAAACCGTTTCCAATTTTCTCCATTTTTTTCATTTTTATATTATTGAAATTATTCTCATTGGCAATAATTTTTGTCATTTAAATTCTAAGATGATTCATCATCAGTTTTTGGCCCATGGATTCTACCAATTACGGTATCTGCAATTGGGAATTTTCTTTTGTAACTATTTTTTTTTCCAATCAAGTTTTGTAAATTTGGTCAAGTAGATTTATTCTGTTAATTTTTACTCAGTGACAAATTTTATCCAGTGCAATTTCCACCACTGTCAGTTTCATTTAGTGATATTTAGCATGAATTGAATACACTCTGAGAATTTGCATCTATTTGTATTTATTCCTTGGTTAACCCATGAGAAAAACTGTGAATGGTTTTATGATACAGAGAGAAGCAGAGATGGGAGAGACAGGGGCAGGGAGGGGAAGGGAGGAAACAAGAGGGCAAGGGAAGTCGAGTGAGACCCAGAGGTAGGAGGGGAAGGCACTCTCTGTCCTGTCTTTAATTACCAAGTATTTAACCACCAGCATTAGGAGTCACTGCTTGGGCACTTAGTAGAGTTGCATCTCTGGGCAGCCAGGAGGCTGAAAGGGTGGAGACTCATGCTCAGGCAGGGAGTTGCGAGCCAAGCCCACCTGCCCCCTGGGCCAGAGCCTGCAGTCGCTAACGGGACCCTCCAGAGCTCTCTGGCCTCTGACCCAGCACCCAGCAATGTCCCACAACTGGCGGCCCCATTAGTCTGGGCCTCCAAGCAATCACAGCACAGAGCAGAGTGATGTACATATTCCATGTTTATGGGAAATAAACCATGACTGGTTTAACGCAAGCCACTGGAATATGGGGGCTATTTATAATAGCAGCATAACCTACTTATTTCAATTGATATTGAGAGCTGTGTGGCTTTGCTCAAGTCTTTAACCTCTCTGATTACCAGTTTTCTCATGTAGAAAATAGAGAAAACAGTACTTAACTTGCTTGTTGTCAGAATTTATTAAATTTAGGCTGGGTACGATAGCTCATGTGTGTAATCTCAGTACCTTGGGAGGCCGAGGAGGGTGGATCATTTGAGGTCAGGAGTTCGAGAGCAGCCTGGGCAACATGGCGAAACCCCATCTCTACAAAAAATACAAAACAAAAAAAACTTAGCCAGGCATGGTGGCACATGCTTGTAATGCCAGCTACCCAGGGAATCGCTTGAACCCGGGAGGTGGAGGCTGCAGTGAACCGAGATCGCACCAGTGCACTCCAGCCTGGGCAACAGAGTGAGACTCCATCTCAAAAAACCAAAAACAAAATTAAAAAAAAAAAAAAGAATAGCAAGAATTAATTGAATTTAAAGTGTCCAGTGTCTAGCAGACATAAATAGAGCTTTTTAAATTAATAGAGCAGCTTAGTATGAATTTTACTCCGGTTTAATTCAGAAATAACTGTCCTGTTTTCTTCTGTCTTAGGATTCCGCCCACTCCAAGGCAGGAAGGCGCACGTGTATGCTCCTCACCTCCAGGGCGTTTAAAGACGCAGCCCTCCCCTCCCTGGGGTAACGGAGAACCCATTCTTGGATGCCGTAGATTTGGGATCGGGTCTTCTGGGCCATCAAGACCTCCTGTGAAAGCAACAGGCGACCAGCGCTGGTGGTGGGAGGCTCTGGGGAAAGAACAGAGCGAATGGAGGCAGATGTTGAGCCACTAGATGAGGCCTGCACAGGATGAGCCGGGCCTCCGGCGACCCACCGGGGTGATGGACTGAGACGCCGGTGGGGAGTAAACCAGGGCTGGCTCACTGTGGTTCTGACGCCTGGAAAGTTGCCTACCAAGGGCACCGCACTGCCCGAGAGCCAAGGAGGCAGGTCAAGCAAAGACCTCTGCCGGGAGCCTTCCCCGAGAATGCCCTTCCTCCCCCGGCAGGGGCGGCCTGCAGGAGAGGCCTGCGCTCCGCTGGCTCCCGCGCCTCCGAAGCCACCTGCCCTGCCGGCGGGACGCGCAGCCAGACCCTCCCTGGGCTCCCTCCCCGCCTCCGTCCCCTCCCTCCTGGCCCGCGGCCCCCAGGGAGTGACGGCGGCGGGAGGGAAGAGGCTGGGAAGAGGGCCGGGCCACCCTCCACGCCCGCCCTTCATTCCCCACCTCCTTCCAGATTCCTCTCCGGGCTCTGACAGAATAGACCGAGGAACGGCGCGTTCGACCTGTTTAACAAATGCTTTTGATACCCGTGAAACAAAGAGAAACATGTGCCATGGCCGCAGGGGATTATTGCACGTTGTAGCTTAGCAGGAGAGAACCGGGCAGAAAGAAACCCGATCACCGGCCTCCAAAACCGGCGCAGACCTCGGGCGACCGCGTCGCTCGACTCCACCAGTCCGTGCCGCCTGCAGCGCCCCCAGCGGCCTCGCCGCCATCGCGCCTCGGCGGCGCCGCGGCGTCCCGCTCGGCAGTGTCCACCAGAGGGCGCCAGCGCTCCTCCGAAGAGGGACGGCGACGCCAGCGCTCGCGGGTGCAGCCCGGAACTGCTCGGCAGCTGCGGAAGGCCGCGCCAGCAGCGTGCGCGATGGCGCCTTCCTTCAAGAGCGTGGGTTTACCCGAACTTGCAGCTCGGGGATTTTTATATTGAAACCACCGCACATCCCCTGGGGCAGGCAGCTCCTCTCCGAGGGTTACAATCGTAATGCTAATCACGGTCATGATCGTTGTGGTAATGGCCCCTTGCCCTGAGGGTCTTCTGGCCCGGGACGTCCTGGCCTGGCTGCTCAGGACAGGTGATTACCTTTTGAGGGCCTGAGCTAATACTCTTCCGCTGGTATTTGCAAAACTTTAATTGCCCACGTCTTGTTTAGATTTTCAGAACCATCCCATTTAGCTCTCACAGAAATTAACTTTTTAAGGATAAATAGACTTGGAGAGGTCATTATTACTGTTGTTGGAAATAACACTTGAACTTGGGTTCTCAAATTCCAATTCCCCCAGCTTTTTGTCTCCCCAAATTTGCTGTGTGTGTATGTGTGTGTGTGTGTGTGTGAGAGAGAGAGAGAGAGAGAGCACACACCTCCCAAGTTCTTTGCTTACGGGCTTGCTGATGCCTCACAGGCCGCTATTTGCACTTCCTTTCTTTGACACTTTCCTTGCGAAAGTGTACCAGTCACACATTTACACATGGATGGGCATGGATAGCACCAGATCCTTTCCCCACTACCCCCTGCTGGGGTCCCAGCAGGTATAGGAGGAGGGGACTTGGTGGCAAGCGCTTCAGACCAGTGTCTGGAGATGTGTGTTCTGGACCTGGGCCTGCCACCACCTGTGCAACCCTGGGCAAGGCACTAGCCCTGGGCACCTCTCCTGAGGAGGCGACTGACCATGTCTCTGGGGTCTTGCACAGCTCTGATGTTTCTGGACTGTGATTGTGCAGAAAGCAGAAGTGCTGCCGGCAAGAAGAAGGCACCATGTGCTGTGTTGGGGTTGACAGGGTGTGAGTGTTGCCGTGGACAGGCAACCCAGGCACCGAGCTTCCACCTAAACCAGCTCTGAGCTCCATCCCACTCCTCTCCCCATCGTGGCCTGAACGTCCCATCTCGGGAGCCGCATTCTCCAAGCCCAAAACTGAGAGGTGTGGTCTGATGATTTCTTAAGAGAACGTCATCTTCGAATGACCCACCATAGGAACCCCAAAGCAGAGTCTGCAGGCAGCCACTCAGCCTCAGGCCCTGAATATGTTCCTGATGCTGCCCTGCTCTGCCAGCTCCATTAATATTACATCAGCCTCTCTCTCCGCAGAGCCTCACACTGTGGGCGAGCTCCCGGCTTCCTTTCTTTGACTTCTCCCCAGGTGCCACGTCTGAGGACTTGTAAATAGAATAAATGAATCCACTGTAATTACCAGATTAATTACAAAATGGCCATTTTACTAAAGAAATAGAGAAGACCCTATGGAATTT